GAACATCTGGCACCCAGGGAACAAAACTTGAAAAGGAGCATCTGATCACAGGTTACCAAGGCTGGATGCTGTGGATCCATCTTTGTACAATGTAAATAGGTATTGCTCTCATTGTTAGAAAAAAATTGGCAGGATTTTTGGGGTAGACCCAGAATGCTGGGAAAAAGGAGGCGGAGTCAGAGGAGTGACAGCCAGGTGGAAAGGTGTAGGTCATGCACAAGTAGCACACAGGTTACTAGAGTAGATTAGTTTAAGTTGTAAGAGCTAGTTAGTAATAAGCCTGAGCTATCGACCCAGCATTTACATTTAACAATAAGTCTTTGAGTGGTTATTTGGGAAGCGGCTGGTGGAACAGTTGATCACGGTCCCAAGGGAAAATTCCACCTAGTTAGTTGGATGCTGGGGTTACTCAGCTCCAGACCACCTCAGTAACTGTTTTGTTCCTGGCAAGCAGACTGGTGTCATATGCTCTCAGATCCCAGGGAAAGTGCAATTCCTTGAACCTGGATGAGCTTGTATAACATCTCTGTAGCTCTTCCTACCTTACAACCATCCTGACATAAAGTCCTGTCTTAACAAGGCTGACACAATCTAAATCTCAGTCTCTCTCACTCCGTAAGAAAACCTTTTTAGAAGGAGCTAGAGAAATGGCTCAGTGGTTAAGAGCTCTGGATGCTCTTCTACAGGACCCAGGTTCAATTAGCAACACTCACATGGTGACGCACAACTGTCTGTAACGATGCCCTCTTCTGGCGTCTGTGGGTACTGCATGCATACTGTATATATACATGTAATCAAAACATCTATAAACATAAAATTTAAATAGGTGTGAGAATTTTGATTGCATGTATATCTATGTACCATATGTGTGCATGTTGTCTGTGGAAGCAGGAGAGGGTACTGAATCCTGTGCAACTTGAGTTACAGACAGTTGTGAGCCATCATGTGGATGCTGGGAATTGAACCCTGGTCTGCAAGAGCAGCACACACTTTTAACCACTGAAGCACCACTCTAGCCCCGTTTTCTCTGTTTTTGGGAGTCTCACTATGCAGCACGGCCTGGCCTGGGATTCACTATGAAGCCCAAATTGTTTTTGAACTCAGGGTGATCCTCCTGTCTCCCGCCAATCTAAGAGTGAGGAGACCACAAGCTTGTGCCACTGCACCCAGCTGCAAACTTCCTTTCCTCCCCACAGCCACCTAGACCTACATCCTACACGTTCCAGGAGCGGTATCAAGGGCAACGGCTGTTATAGGAAAAGAACAAAAAGCAAAAGAATAGGTACTGTCTAAATCGCCTTCTGTGTGTTAACTCATACTCATGACAGGTAGGAAGGCAGGGGCCATCACTGTGTGTGGGAGGGGAGGAAGCAAAGAGGTTCGGGAACTCTCCTGAGGCTCTGGGTTTCTGAGCTCAGCTATGTCACTATGGGGTGGCACTGAACACCACATTCTGCACTGCTTCGGAAGCTTGAGTGGCAGGCTGGCATGGTGTATTATGTCAGCAATCCCAGAACCTGGGAGGCAGAGACAGGAGGATTGCTGCATGTCAGAAGCTAGCTTGGTCTACATATACATAGCAAGGTCTGGACCAGCCAGGGCCACACAGAGAGATGCTATCTTAAAACCTTAAAAGTGCATGGCTAAGACCGTAATTCAAGCAGCCTGAGCAGCCCTGTGACCCACAAGAGATTTTTCTTTGCTTTCTTAGTGTTTTCTTTTTTTAGTTATTTGTATTTTATTATTTTACGTGTATGGGTATTTTGCCTGTATGTATGTCTGAGTGCCCATGTACACGCAGGGCCCACTGAGGTCAGAAGAGGGCATTGGGTCCCCTGGAACTGGAGTTGGAGACTGGGTCCTCGGGAAGAGCAGCGAGTGCTCTTATGAGCCATCTTTCCAGACCCCAGGAGGGGCTTTTCAAAAGGGCACAGGGGTCCCACAGGAGGCGCCTCTATCACAGCCTCTGCTTGGCTACATTTGCCAGGCAAGGGAGCCCTTGTTTTCCCCTGTGGTCAGCTGCAGCAAGTCACCCCAGCTTTTAATTCCCCTAAAAGGGAAGGCTCTCCTGAGAGCAATGGAGACCAAAGCCCCAAACTCACACGGTCACACACTGTTGCATGGTGACCTTTGGTCAATAGTGGACCACATATAGGACAGCAGTCCCATGAGATTCTGCCACTCAGGAGCATGACTGCCACCTAGGTTTGGATTAAGCATACTCTTATCGTTTGCACAATGTAGAAAGCAATCAACCACAGTTGCACAAACATGTCACTGTCATTGAAAAACACCCCGTTTTACCATCACCCAAGCACCCTTCAAAAAGCTTAGAAAAGCTCAGTGAAATTAAAATAACCCCAGAGACTTCATGTCTTTTTTGCTCCTTTCTTTGGTAACGTGTTCTCCCCGTCACACAAGCAGGCAGACACGTTACCCTGGAAGTGGTAAGCTTCAAACAGATTCAAACCAGCAAGGCTTTGATCTGCCAAGTTGAAATGTCTCACCCGGGCCCCAGCTCCAAAAACCAGAAAGGAACCCAAGACTTAGGTCTCCAACTAACCTCACAGGCTGCCGAAGCAGCCCTGTGTGTACAGTTCAGAGCCACGGGGGCCACTCTTGAATGCTGCAGGGCCTGCTGTGCCCTGCCCAGTGCCCTTTCCTTAGACATTTCTATTAACCCACGAAAGGGCCGTGCTGAGATTCTGGAGGCTGTGAGCACGTGAGAAACCTCAACAGGCGTCTACAGTATTTACTTTTAAAAGCCCAGCTCTCGGAAAGTTTGTGCTAGCTGATAATTTACAGCTTGTTACTGTCTGTTCTTGAAGAAACAGGGAGCAAAGGGCAGCAGAGCGGCCATGGGTCAGAGGAGGAGGAGGATCCTGCCCTTGTACACTGATGGGGTGAAGATCTTGGCTACGCAGCTAAAGTAGTGGTGGCACACCCTTTGATAACGGGTACCACACTGTACCACAAGGGGGCGGGGCTAGAACCACCAACCTTGTGTCAGGTTAGAACAAATACATTGTTTTCAGAGTCCAAATCTATGCTAGCTTTATTCTGTGTACCTGGCCAACCCCAACAGGACTCAGACTGACTGAGGTACAGACAAACCTGAATGGTGATCTCCCTGTGCAAGGACTAGGCGGACTTGTGTCTTTTTTCAAGATCAATGTGTGTGCCCTGTCAGCTCAACCCTGCTACAGGGACACACAGAGCTGCTGAGTGCAATCACAGAACACTCTCTTCATAATGTGTAACAGCTGTGATTCACTCAATAGTCAAAAATAATGATTTCACTAAGTGTGATCGACAGCCATTTAGAGAGCTGTTCTATAGCCTATAAATTCTACAAGATACTGACTTCAAAATGCATGTCATTCTCCCAGAAAGCTGTGTTTACTACCCACTACTCCTGGGCCAGCTTGGGAACAATGTTCAACATGGTCCCTTGACAACGGATACTGAAACTGCAAACTGAGTGGGCACACGCCTGTAATCTCAGCACTCGGGAGGCAGAGGCAGGAGGGCAGTTTGTTTGGCCGAGCTACCTAGCAAGACCCTGTCTCAAAAAGGAAGAAGGAAGGGAAGAGCAAGGGAGGAGAAGGAGGGAGGAAAGAGGGAGGGAGGGAGGAAAGAGGGGGGGAGGGAAGAGAGGGAGGGAGGGAAGAGAGGGAGGGAGGGAAGAGGGAAGGAGGGAGGGGGAGGGAGGAAGGGAGGGAGGGGGGAGGGAGGGAGGGGGAGGGAGGGAAGAAGGGAAGAGTGAAGGAAGAGGGAACGGGTGATGTTTCCCTCATGTGTCAACAAGAAGAGTTCTCTCTGTCCACCAGGCTCGCTCATCTTTTGTGTTTTACTACAATTCTTGCATTACTAACTAATTCTTGCATTACTAACTAATTCTTGCATTACTAACTCCTCCCTGTTGACGCCCTTGGAAGCCACATATTACAAAAGACACAGAAAGCCGTGATCATCATCGTCATTCTATTTATATTCCTTCCACATTCTAATCAATCCCTTTTTGTCTTCATTCACAAGAATAGGCATAACTATTGTGTGCCATGGCATGCCTAAAGCCTCACGTCTGAGAGCTGGGCTCCCGCAGACAGACTTGCCCCTGAAATACTGCCTTCCAATGTGTGTCCCGATCTTTCAGATCCTCAAGACCCACGAGGGTGTAAGGAAGATAAAGACGATCTTGCGACTTAGAAGGTGCAGCAGATGAGGCTGGGACATAAGTGAAGATGGCAGCTTCTCTTGGAGTGGGGGCCCAGGGGAGGAGAGTGCAGCTAAAACCTAGCTCACTGCTTCATACCCTGCAAGGGCTACGACTCACACCAACTGGCTCGAGGGTGTCTTGGGGCTGGGAAAGACCCTGTAACAGCCTGGAAGACTAGAGTTAGGAGAATGAACCTAGACCTGTTGTCAATCAGTTCCCTACTGTGTCTGTGGTAAACATCGGTCACTTGGAGCATGAAGCTGCGCATGTCTGAGGCAGGAAGATCATGAGCTCAAAGACAGACAGAGTGAGGTTTGAGAACAGCCTGAGCTATACAGGAAGAGTATCTCAACAACAATGAAACACCAACAAAGCAAAGCAAAACAAAAAATGGCTGGGAGATGGCTCAGTGGGCAAATGTTCTTGTCATACAAAAGTAAAGATCTAAGCTCAAGCCCTGGAACCCATTTAAAGATATTGGAGAGAATCAATTTCATAGAGTTGTCCGGACCTCAACATGCATATACCTTGCCTTCCATGCAACCTCTCCCTCTGCCAACCCAACACACACATGTGCACACGCACGCACGCACACACACACAGACACACACAGAAATTTTAAACAAACAAACAAAAAACCATAATCCAAACTCCACATGAAATAGGATGGTTAGGACTCAGCTACTTCTAAGCACAAGCTTTGATGTCAAAACTACATTGAAAGGATATTTCAACCCCATCATATAAATGGCCAGCTTCTCTCTAGTCCACTAAGAGTTACCTTGGTGATCAACATAAGGCTTGAAGGCCTGAAGGATTTTTGGCACAGCTACACCCATGTCAAGTTCTGTCAGGGTTAGCTCATTCATAAAGTAGGGGAGCTAGAGAAAAGAAACAAAAGTGAATGAGACACATTAGTAAGCTGGTACCCACACTAAGGCCAGCCAGAGGTCCACATATTGTCTGAGTGAGGAGAGGGTAGGTAAGGGGTTGGGCCCCATCTTTATGTTCAAACTACAGAGGCGTAAATGAGTGATCAGACAAATAATACTTTCGTAAAGCAGGAGCTGGGTCGGGCATTGGTGGCCCACGCCTTTAATCCCAGCACTCAGGAGGCAGAGGCAGGTGGATTTCTTTGAGGTTGAGGCCATCCTGGTCTACAGAACGAGTTCCAGGACAGGCTCCAAAGCAGTACAGAGAAACCCTGTCTCAAAAAACAAAAACAAAAACAAAACAAAAACAAAAACAAAAAGCAGGAACTGGCACAGAGGAGTGTGGACTTGGTCAGGGACGGCCATCTTGGCTAAGGAGGTGAGGAGCATGGATAAGGTGTGGCATCTGACCTGAGACCTGCCAGGAGGAGGACGCACAGGTGGTAAGGAGAAGGGATGGAGACAAACACATTGTTACATTTCTGACAGGTAAATTTATCACGAGATTAAAAATAACTGGGCAAACCAAAACTAAAGCCCCAAACCCAACTCCATATCCCTTGATGCCGGGCTGCCTATTTCCATCTTCCTCCCAAGCATCCACGCACCACCTGCTCCAAATGTTCAGGTCTGTGCAGACTGTGCCCACGAAGCCGGTGTCCCCCATCTCTCCAGCTTTGGGTGGCATATGGTCATCAGGGTACACCAGGGGCCAGGGGAGGGATAGTGCAGGGGGAAATGTTCATAGCATCTGTTCTCACACTCTAGTGAAGTCTGACCTCCTTCAAGACAGGCAGCTCTCCCCTCACAGCTCCCCACCTCCGCTGGCCCAGGCAGTCTGCAGCCTCCCCTTGGGTTTCTGCATCTGCTCTGGCTACTCATCTGAGTATGCCTCTTGTTCCCGATGGGTCAGACTAACCCCAGGCAGGGATTCATTAGGAGGAAATGACCGCTGTCCTTCTCAGAAATCCCTAAGTGACCCCAAGATCACACCATGAACTTAACTCTACTTCCTCTGCCTGAATTTGTACTTTCTTTTTCTTTTTTAGGTTTTTCAAGAGAGGGTTTCTCTCTACTGCTTTGGAGGCTGTCCTGGAACTCACTCTGTAGACCAGGCTGGCCTCAAACTCACAAGAGATCCACCTGCCTCTGCTGGGGTTAAAGGCGTGGGCCACCAACACTCGTCCAATTTTTACTTTCTGAATCTTCAGGTCATTTGTTATTTAGTGTAAGGGCTCCTCCCTCTCCTCCCATGTCAATGTAACCCTGGTTGGCTCGAATTTGCAGAGAGCTACTTGTTTCTGCCATTCAGGGCTGGAGCCAAAGGCATGTGCCACCTCACCCAGTTTAGCCTAAGTTTTAAATTAGGTATTCAGCATTTTTGGATCAAATGGTTAATTATTGATCTCTACCTATTCATTGAGCAACCAACCAATACTTTATCTGTACTGTCACCTTTAAATACTAGATTCCTACCACGCTGGAGTCTACACTGTAATATTTTCTGCTAGCATCAAACTTTATAATATTCTTTTTTGTTTGTTTGTTAGTTTTTTTTTTTTTTTTTTTTTTTAGGCAGGGTCTCACCAGGTAGGTCAGGCTGGCTTTGAACTTATGATCCTCCTCCTGCTTCAGCCTTCTGGGTGCTGAGATTGACAGTCATGCACCACCACCAGGATTTCTCTGTGTAGCTCTGGCTGTCCTGGAACTCAGTCTGTATACCAGGCTGACCTTGAACTGGGAGATCCATCTGCCTCTGCCTCTGCCTCTGCCTCTGCCTCCAGAGCGCTGGGACTAAAGGTGTGTGCCACCACTGCCCAGGTTCCTAACACAATATTAATTATGAGTACTTTTCTAGTTTCGTGTTACACTACATTTGTAAAAATTAAGACTAAAAATAATTAAACACTGATCAAGATTTCCCACATAGTGAGGTTGCAGCTGGCCAGGTGTGGATCTGTTTCTTCCCTGGTGAATCTCTGTAACTGGCTTTCGGCAGAGAGTGGGATCTGTCAGGACTCATCAGCTAGAGAACTTCAACTCTCTTGTGGTTTTTTTCGTTTGTTTGTTCTTTACAGGGGTGAGGGTCACAGACAGGAGGTCATATTTGTGATGAATAGAGCATCCAATCAACATTTGAGATAGGGTCTTGTGTAGCTCAGCTGGCCTCGAACTCACTCTATAGCTTCTGAGGGCTTCTTGCATGGGAAGCAAACACTGTATCCCCTGAGCTAAATATGTCCAGCCTTTGGTCATACTTGTCTGAATTGGTCTATCCCTATCTTAGACATACACCCCCCAAAAGCATCAATGTGGATGTGTTGACTTCTCTGTCAACCTACAAAACGTTACTTGGCCAAGCAAGTTTGCTACACCTTACACACTTGCTACAGTGCTTTTTTCTTTTTCTTTTTTCCTTCCTTCCTTCCTTCCTTTTTCTTTTATTTCTTTTCTTTTTTTGAGTCAGGATTTCTTTGTGTAGTCCTGGTTGTCCTGGAACTCACTCTGTGACCAGTCTGGCATTGAGCTCACAGAGATCGGCCTGTCTCTGTCTCCTGAGTGCTGGGGTCAAAGGTGTGGGCACCATCACCAGGCTGCCACAGTGATTTTTGTCTGTAATTGCCACTCAGGGCTTAGCATTTCAGGAGCCTGCCAGGTTAGAGATTCCATGGGCTAGCCAAGGCATAGTCACCTCCAACAGCACCTCTATGGGATCGAGTGTCTGGCACCGCGCCACAGTAGGAACTTATTTCTTTCCACGTCACCCCCACCCTATCCTGCATCCTTTGACTGCTGAAAAGGCAAAGGAAGGACCTAAGACAGGTCCTGAGACAGAGTCAGGGCCTGAAGGCACCAGGCCTGAGGAGTGAGTGTTGGGTGAACCAGCACAACAGTCTGGGTGTACCTAACCCCAAGCTGGTACATCTCCAATTAACCTGGCCTCACTCAGTTTATTCCTCAATCAGCCTCTTTCAATTGCTAAAGAAGGCAAGAGAGCCTCTCCTGTGTGTCACTAAACCAGAAACCAGGAACAACCTCGTGTTCCTTACCTTCCTAAATAAACTTGACTGGGAACAGAACAGTCAGATGCCCAGATATGCTCTGATTTGCGGATGATCATCAGGCTGTGTGCAATGATAGCATCTGCTCACAGGCACGAGCATCTCAGAGATGTATTTGAGCAGCAGTGGCCAAGGCAAAGAGCTCACTTGCTGTTGGGGTAGAAACTCTGCTTGCCTAAGCCCACGTCTGGACACCAGATGCAATATCCAGCTGACACAAGTCATCGTTGCACGCAACGGTGGCGATCGGGGTTGGAGCACTTGGCATTTGCTCCTCCGCCTGGGTATCCTCCGATCTTTAGAGCACACCATACATACAGCAACAGATCAGAAGGGTGTGGGGGTGAGGGGAGGAACAGTAAGAGAAGGGACAAAGCCCTCCCCAGCCTGACTTGTGGCACTTGCTCCCATCCTAACCTTCAGCTCTGACCAGAAAAAGCAGAAGGAGATTAAGCTGGTGAAACACAGGAGCTTCTGTGACCAATAGAAAGAAGGAAACAGACAACTTCCCTAAACTTTCTCTGGGATGAGGGAGCCTTCATTACTCCACCGGGGAAGAGGCCCCATGACTCCTGGTTTAGAGGAGGCTGCCCCATGCTTCTGGAACTGGTGAGCACCCATCTGGACTCAGGCACGCCCTGTCCACTTCTAGCTACGGGGGAAGCACAGCTCTCCAGTATCCTAGAAAGGGGCAGGGCAGCCCCTCCATGTGGCTTGACCTGAGACTCCAGCTTCTGTCGTTTCCAAGGTGACAAAGAGGTCATGTGTACTTTAGGTGGCTGCTGACATCTCTTTCTCCAATAAGGAGGGACCCTAATGATTACTGTCCCAAGACATCTGGCCAGCAGGGGCCAGGTCAACTCTCAACCCACCACTTTGAGGACACTAACTGGCTGACATTTGTCAAAGGGCTCTGCTCTAAAATCTCTGCAGGTCAGAAGCCAGCCTCTCTTCTTCCCTGGATTGCTGGGGAAGGGCTGAGACTGGTCAGGACACAGAGCTTGTCATAGCCCAGAGGAAGACCCAAAGGCAAACTGAAGCTGTTTTGTGTCCATATCTTCTTCAAACCTAACTTCACCTAATTGTGAAGCTCCCTTGCCTGGGAGGCCTCAGCTGCCTGAGCACACTTGCTCACGTGCCTGAGTGCACGCTCTTCTAGGAGGACCCACAGAGTTCCGCTTCTCAAAGGACACTATGGCCCGAACGACTGCAGAGCTGAGGATCTGAGTTTCTGATCGCGGGACTCTCGGTGAGGGCTCAGGGACCAAAGTGCTCTTCCTTGGCCTTTAGCAGGCCAGAGACTTGCTTCTCGGGACCTCCACTGGCCTCTGATTGGCAAATGACAGTCACGAGGGACCCTTTGGCAGTTTAAACTCACTTCCAAGCAGACCCGGCCTAGCACTAGGTGCAGTCCATCAGCAATCGGAGTCCAATACAAAGAGACATCTGGCCAAAAGCAAAGGTCAGTGGCAGACACATTTAGAGCGAGCACTAACTAGCGAGTCCTAGCGAGGGAAGGAGGGCAGCTGAGAAAGGCTCCTATGAGGTTCAACGTGGCTTGGTCACTGCAAACAGATGGACAGTTTAAGTTGTCTCTACCTCAGATCAGCTATGGGAGTTCCTACTTTCCACCTGGGGAGGATAATGACATAGCAACACTAGAAAAAGCAATCGGGACAGCTGACTCAGTCCCCAGATGCTCAGTCACAGATCAAGGTCAGTTTGTGATCCCGGGCAAATGTGCTGTGTGTGTGAGGTATGTTTAGGCCAAGGTGTGTTTCCACGTCAGACCTAAGGGGACAGAAATGAAGAAGTGGGGAATCGGAGGCCTCTCGTGTGAAAAGCGATACCTTAATTTTGCTGAGTTTCATCTGGATTTTCTTTGACACCAGATCAGACCAGTATTTCTCGCCTAAGAAGTCCCAAAATATTCTTCCAAGCAAGGCATTCACCCAGGCTTCTTGTTCTTCCTCCTCAGAGGGTGGGGCCTCTGGCAACTGGCAAAAGAAAAGAGACCAAATTAGCCATCAGACAACTGGAGACTCAGACAGGTGCTTATTTTCATAAAGCCTCCGAAGGCTCCTCCTATAGAAACGGAACACGTGACTTGTGCATCTTCCCTATAAATTACAAGTCCCACATAGTGAGTGAGAAAAGAAGAAACAAAATTGGCTGCTGCAGCTGCAACCTTCTCTTTGTCTGCTTTCTGCTTCTGCCAGTCCTCCTATGATCCAGCTAACACTCTGCGGCACCAGCTCAGACAACCTGCCCTGCCCATGGCCCCCTCCCGACTAATCTGACGCCAATGAGCTAACTATCAAAGCCTGCCTATCCCTCCCCCAGCTAGGCTTGAGCCTGCAATTGCCAAGCCCATCTTCGTCCAGGAGGAAATGAGTTTCTCAATGGCGGGGGCTCAAGTTCAGAATGATCCCTGAAAGGTCAAGACATTGTTGAGGTGCTTAAAAATACTGACATTTTCATGCATGGCCGTACCTCTGAGACTCTGAACTCAGCTGAGTCAGGGGTTCTTGAAGCCCTCTCAGCATGGAAAGAAGAAGAGAGTAAGGACCACATGGATGGATAAGAGCACGACTCTCGGGACAGATGTTCTCCTCAGCCCCAGCCCAGCAAACACCCTCATGTCTACCCCTCTACCCACACACAATCTGTCTGAAACATCTGCTGTGACCAGTGGGTAAGCAGATCTGTCTCCACCTTCCTGGACTAGTCACTAGACTATGGAATCAGGCCTACGGTGGGTCAAGAGGTGGGGGTAGAGGAGGAAGGCAAGCAGCAGCAGCAGCCGAGGGGACCCTGAGGTTTGATGGCGAGCAAGCATGTGCTGGTGGGCTCGGCACTCACAGGGGTGGCGGCATCAGTGCTGTTGACCATGGCTGCACACAGGCCAACAGCAGACTCCGAGGATCACCACATTCGTGCGTCGCAATACCCCAGAAAGACAGGACCCCACTTCCGCCTGAGGAACGAGAGGTCCTTAGTTCGTTTGTGACTGCAGCCTGACTCTGGCTCTCCGCTTACTATCACGAGGAGGGAGGGTGTGAATGTCCCGCTGATGAGACACACGTTTGCAGAGGTGTCTGAGTTCGACTACAGCCTCACACAGAAAAGCAAGCGCTTGAGAGGAAAGATCAAAAGGTTTCAAAGTGCAGAGAAGCCCGAGGCCTGCTCGCGCTTCCCCCTTGTGACTTACAGAAACACGTGTAGGCCACACACTGTCCACAGTCCTCTCCTTCTGTGCCACCAAGACCTGCTCTGTGCAACTGACCGCCCCACCTGGCTATGCGCCTGGCCAGTGGAATGGCACACGGGTCATTAGGTGCCGACAATCTGACCAAGGCAGGCGTGACTGGTTGTGAGGACCCCCACGGTCTACGTCATGTGACAATTCTGAAGCCTGGACTTAGGGTCTGACCCTGTTGACACTCAGCCCCTGTGCCATACCACAGCTGTGCCAGTTCTCTCTCTGAGAAGGCGAGTGGGGAGCTCACTCCCATTCCAGTGACACATCAGTGTACGACACGTCCTGAACTTCAACTCTAGGTGATCAAGGGCTGCTTCCGGTGACGTCAGAGACTCACTACAAACAAAGGGGCTGCAGGGGGCACTCACTGGTGGCTCACAACCTTCAATGCCACCTGTCACTCTCTTCCGCTTCCACAGTACCTCACACGTGGCACTCACCCATGCAGACACACAGACATATACACACCAATAAAAGTTTTTTAAAACACCCTTGTTTAAAATCGATACACATTAGCTGGGTGGTGGTGGCACACGCCTTTAAATCCCAGCACTCAGGAGGCAGAGGCAGGTGGATCTCTTTGAGTTCTAAGACAGCCAAGGTGACACAGAGAAATGCTGTCTTGAAAAAAAAACAAAAAGGAAATGCTGTCTCGAAAAACAACACAAAAAGATACATGTTGATCCTTCCATTTCAGAAGAGGTGGCTCTATCGCACTCTAGAGAATTCTATGTGTACTTCCCTGGTGCCAACATGTCCTTACACATTAACCAAGTCATTTCCCACCACCAAGATCTGATGGAAGGACAGAAGTTGGCATCAGCGATATTTTGAGACAGGGCTTTTCTGTGTGTGGTCCTGGCTGTCCTAGAACTCCCTATGTAGACCAGGCTGGCCTCAAACTCCCAAATATCTGCCTGCCTCTGCCTCCTGAGTGCAGGGATTAAGGGCATGTGCCACCACCACCTGGTGGCATCAACAATTTCTTAACCATGCCACAAGTGTGCATGTGTGTGTGTGTGTGCACATGTGTGTGTGCTCACCCCACCCCCACGCCTTGTGCTGCCATCTTCAGGCCTGAGGTTAATTGCCTCAGATCATCTGCCCAGATTTATGAAGAAACATTACATGCCTGAGGAACATGGCCCCTAGGCTGCTCAGGCAGTGTGAAACCACTACCCACGTCAGACCCACGTCAGACCCACGTCATTTTTAGTCTTGTGGGCCACATGGAAGAGGAGGCTACCTTGTCCCTTCTAGGACGGAGTGCCTACCCTCTATCAGCCTCTCTTTATAATGTTCATTTTCACAGGAAGCAAATTCCACCAAAAAAGCAGCAAGAAACAAAGGCTATTTTACGACGACGGTCAAGCCGGTGGCATACGATGTGGCAAAATGTCTGAAGGAACTGACAAGCAAGTTGTTTTTCCTCTTTATCAGTTCCTGTAGCTGAGGCAGGCCTCTGCAAGAGCCGCAGAACACTGGCACCGCCAGTGGAATCTGGCCTCCACGGGTTGCTAGAACGCATCCCCAGTGGCTGCCATAAAAATTAAAGCCAAAAGAATACATGTGCACACACTTCCCAATATTGCTCAGTGGCTGTGAGGAGAATATCCACTGTGCTGCCTCCCCCCTCCCCAGCACGGTTTCCAAACACAAGTGCTTGGAGAAGCCAACGTTCTGAAGCCGAGGCAAGGCCACTGAGACCGTATAGTTCGTGGGAAGTACGGTATTCTAAAACAAACGTCTGTGTCCAGCACAGCACACATGTGCTTCATTTGTGGGAGGCCAGGGGTGCCTTTCTGCTAAAAGAAAGAGGGGCCTCTGCCCCTGAGTTTGGTCATGTGGCAGCCTGGCCCAAGAGCAGACACGGTAGGACACTTTCTTCACGCTTGTGTGCTTGTTCCTCCTGATTTTAAAACAATGCATATTCATTACAGAACACACACATGACCTCTCTTTCCAGGCAGGACAGAAACATTTCCACTATATTTTTTAAGCCCTGATGCTGCTGCCCAGCCACTCCCCTGCCCCACCCCACCCCCACATGCCCAGGATGACTTTAAACTGGCAATCCTCCTACCTCTGCTTCCTGAGTACGAGGGTTACAGACATGTACCACCAGGCCCAGTCTCAGTATTTTTCAATACTTTAAAAAAACATAATGGAGCAGGGTAGTAGCCTGTGCCTTTAATCTCAGTCCCTGGAGGCAGAGGCAGACAGATCTCTGTGAGTTAGAGGTCAGCCTAGTCTACATAGTAAGTCCCAGGCCAGCCAGGGCTGTATAGTGAGATCATGTCTGGCTCCTCTCCACCAACCCCCAAAACATGGTTTTGTAAGACAGAGTCTCATGTGGCCCAGGCTGGCCTTGAACTCACTGACTTTTGATTCTCTAGCCTCCATCTTCTAAGCGCTAGGACTACAGGGCTGCAGCACTAGGCCTGACCCAAATTAGAGATACAGTTTGCAAATGTTTTCTCCTATTCTTTGGGTTATCTTTTTAAAAAGATTTATTTTTACTATGTTTATTTTTGTTCATGTATATGTGTCTGGGTACATGTATGCCACACACATGCAGGTGCCTAGGGAGCCAGAAGTGTGTGCCAGATTCCTTGGAGCTGGAGTTACAGGCAGTTGTGAGCGACCTGACATGGGTGCTGAGAATCAAACCCCGGCCCTCTGGGAGAGCAGTGTGTGCTCTTAACCACTAAGCCGTTTCTCTAGCTCCTGGTTGAAAATTTGCTCTTATTGTTTCACTTGTATTTAGTTGTAGGAGAAGGTCTCTCTATGTGGGTTCTGGGACTGAACTCAGGTCATCAGGCTTGGCAGCAGGCAGCGTACCCACAGAGCCATGTGGACAGCCCGCTTTTAGTGCTCTTGATGGTACTGTTCATTTCACCCAAGGCTTGAGTTTGGGTGGTGCCCATAAAAGGACGCTAGCCAGCGGAGAATGGCAAACACGGCTCTGGCAGGCCTTGCCCTTCTCCCTCATTCCCTCTGCCTTGCTAAGAACCATTAGATCACATTCCTAAAGCTAGCTACATGCCCAATTAAAATTAAACACCTCATCTGAACACTTACAAACTGCCGTTTTCCTATGGGCCACATGTGTCCCCTCTCTTCCAAGAGACAGTCCTTTGTCCTCCTCCCCACCCCAGGATAAATACTCCTTCCCCCTTCTCTCTTGTTCTCTTCCCCTTCTCTCACAAGCTCTATTCCTGTCTGTCTCTAATTCCCTGCCCTCTGTCCCTCTGGGACCAATAAAATCTCCTTTGTGCCAAGAACACGGTCTTGGAGGGTCCTGGGCCAATACGGATTCCTTCCAGCCCGGATTTACTTTTCTTTAGTTGTTTGCTTATGTGGTAAGTAGGGTCTGTATTTTTTTCTTTTTGCTTCATCATCTTCTTTTAAGCAGCCTGAACCCATGTTCTTCTCTTGGCCTCCTGTGTGCCAGAGATACTGGTGTGTACCCCATGTCCTGCTACAGTTACTGGTGTATGTGTACCCCATGTCCTGCTACAGTTACTGGTGTATATATGTACCCCATGTCCTGCTACAGTTACTGGTGTATGTGTACCCCATGTCCTGCTACAGTTACTGGTGTATGTGTACCCCGTGTCCTGCTACAGTTACTGGTGTATATATGTACCCCATGTCCTGCTACAGTTACTGGTGTGTACCCCATGTCCTGCTACAGTTACTGGTGCATGTGTACCCCATGTCCTGCTACAGTTACTGGTGTATGTGTACCCCATGTCCTGCTACAGTTACTGGTGCATGTGTACCCCATGTCCTGCTACAGTTACTGGTGTATGTGTACCCCATGTCCTGCTACAGTTACTGGTGTATGTGTACCCCATGTCCTGCTACAGTTACTGGTGTATGTGTACCCCATGTCCTGCTACAGTTACTGGTGTATGTGTACCCCGTGTCCTGCTACAGTTACTGGTGTATATATGTACCTCATGTCCTGCTCAGGAGGTTTCATCTAACTCAAAGATTTACTTCTGCTCTGTGTTTTATGGTTTTATCCTTTACCTTGAGGTCTGTGACCACTGACTGTGAGGTAAGGAATGCCAGGTAAGGAATGCCAGGCAGAAGTTCAACTTTTGCCTGTGGACATTTTAGTGACTAAAGAGACTATTCTTGGAACAACAGGTAAAGTTGCTTGCCACCAAGTCTGGCAATCTGAGGTTTTCTTATCTATCTATCTATCTATCTATCTATCTATCTATCTATCTATCTATCTATCCATCCATCCATCCATCCATCCATCCATCCATCCATCCATCCATCCATCCATCTTGGTGGCAGAGTCTCACTATGTAACCCTGGCTGTCCTGGAACTCACCATGTAGACCAGGCTGGCTTTGAAATCACAGAGATCCACCTGCCTCTGTTTTTCAAACAACCGACTTCCAGGGATAAAGGGACTGTAGGGAGGAGGGAGCTGTCACAGACGAAGAAGAGATGCTGTCACCTACTCTAGCCTAGAGCTGGTGATTCAGAGTGTGTGTGGAAGCAGTGAGCTTGAGGTCAGCAGGGGCACACGGTCTTTGCGCTAAAGTTCACATAGGTCAGGTCTGCGGTCACCTCCACACAGAAGAGACGGAAACCAAGGGGCAGCCAAAGGTACAGGAGGAAACATCACGTGTTCCTCACGGCCACATTTCTGTCTTTGGCGGCTAAGTAATGGGATGTGCATAATTTCACCCATGACGACCCTAATGCCCTTTGATTGCTGGGACTGTCGTGCTGATGGATCACTCTGGAATCAGCCTGTGCTAGAGGCCTCCCGCTCCTGCTGTGCTGCTGCTCTGAGGCACAGCCCTGCTGTGCACCTAGGCTACCTGATGTCTCTCAGGTCAGCTTCCCCACCAACATAATGGAGAGATCTAGTCTGTGGGGACTTGGGGAGGGCTAGAGTAATTCTACTGATGTGCCCAGGCAAGTCTGGCATATGGCGGTGTGTACTAACAACTGTGTCCGGAGTGACTGTTATGTCGATGTCCAGCTTGTTACACTGCGAAGCCATTCTCATGCTAAATCTTCAAAAGCAGTGTTTTACAAAGCAGAGGGCCACCTGTGATGGCTAAGGCGTCACACTTGATTACCAGTGACTCTACGACCTTTCTACCTAGAGCCTGTTGCGCAGGTACAAAAATTAGGCATCAATCCATCCACCTCCTTTTCCCTCACATCCCACGTGTCCATCAGCAAAACCAGTTGGTTCGTCTCTCAATCACCCAGTAGCACCCAAATCTCAGCCCACCCTCCACATCTCAGAGCACTTACTCCTTCCTCCCACAGCCATTCTCCATGGAGTCACTTAAGCTTAGAACAAAGGCATTGCCTGTTTAAACCCTCCCGGAACCTCCTCTCTCCCTCAGAACAGACCTTAAGAGACCCTGCCCTCCCTCCACATCAGCTACCTCTCTCTCTCTCGTCCTTGCTTACTGCCCAGCCACATCGGCCTCAATGCTATCCCTTGAGTATCCCAACCGCACTCCTGCTGTGGACCCTTCTGGAAGGTCCTCTAGCATGTATCACTGTGACTCACTGACCAACTCCTCAAAGAGAACTGGATGACACAAACAGTAGTGGAGCCCTTCTCCTCCATCACCTCTAACCCAGCTTCAGTCCGTCCCGTCACCCAAGGCTGGCTTTGTGCCGTCTCCCTGAACAGAGGAACTCTGAGACATTACATGCCTTTCCACGTCGAGCTCATTACCATGCCTTTGGAATCTGGAAGAGGGAGGCCTGGCATGAATCCCTCACACACGAAGGCCAGTTTAAAGGAGAGAGCGCAGAAAGGCCCCGGCCTGGCCGCCTACCTTCTTCCCAGCTGTGGGGCTGCTCTCCGCACTCTGCACAGGGCTCCTGTGGGGGCTCCTGTCGTCCTGGGGCACACACCTGCCCATGTACACACTGTAGTCCAGAAGCACCTTCTGGCGCACGCTGCCCACCAGCTCCTTCTGTTTCGGCTGGGACATCACCTCCTCCATGCTGCCTTTGCTGCTGCTTCGGCTATGAGTCAGGTGCCCCGAGGGACTGCTGTGTCTGCTGTGAGTGGGCAAAAGCCCTGGGGTAACAAGTGACAGCTGTTAATACAGATGGAAACAACGGCCAGGAATAACTAAATGCCCCTGGGTTAAATGGAAAAGCAGCTAAAATGCCTCCAAATGATGTTTTAAAACAACCCTTACCCTGAAAAATACTTTCTGCCCTAATGATAGGTGATTATTAGAATGGTTTTTATTCTTCGAGATAACTTTGAAATGGGGGCATCACAGTACACCAGGTAGGTGGCCACCCTTTTCCGTTGCTCCCAGTGGTCTTGTAGGAGAATGTAAAACACAGCACCAATGTGCCCTCCAGTCAGGGTGAGCCCATGGATGCTAACAGAGCAAAGGGAGGGTAGGCAGGAAGCAATGAATTGTTCATCCTTAGCTCAGCGCATTTCAAAGACGCCATCTTCCACTCGACAGATCACCCATCACACACCTTCCCTGCACCCACCCCATGCTAACCAGGAGAACAAGGCGGACATGGGGAAGGTAGGTGACAACTGCCAAGAGCTGCTGACCCAGCGCTGACACCACGGACACCTGCACTAGTTTCTGAGGGAAGAGCTGCCGTTTTCCTTGCCCTGGCAGAAGAACGCTCTAGACAGAGAGAGTCAGGGGAGTCCTGTAAAGGCGACACACAAAGGAGGAAGCGTGCTGGAGGCAAAGTCAGGAGCCTCGCTGTCAAGGGCCTGAAGCCTGACCCCAGGGTCAGCTGATCCTGTCGCAATAGAGGGTTTAGAGCATGCTGGCACTGACAGACTGATCGGCTCAGTTCACTGTGTGAGCAAGGGAAGAACAGAGAGGTAAAGATCAAGTCAGATCAGGTGGTATCTGCCCGTTCCCGGCCATCTGAACGGCCGCTCTCTCTGGTAGCGCAGGCACAAACACTTGGGAACGTTACTTTAAACTTAGGTTTTTTTTTTTTTTGGTCTTGTTTTGTTTTTAAAGCTAGGTTCTTTTCCCAGGACTGACTTCCTGAGGTTTTACCTAGAGTTCATACTTTTCATAACCCTTTATCATTCTCAAATCACTTCAAGGTTTACCATTATTTTAAATGTCAGAACGATGCTGTACTCCCGCCCACACCATTTCTTTTAATAGATGAAAACTAAACCCAATGTGGTGTTGTCCTAGATTGGAATTTGGAGGAAGAGAAGGACTTTAGGAGAAAACGAAGAGCTACCCAAATAAACTCTAGAATTTAGTTAATAAAGACAGAGCCAAACATTCTCCCCAACCCCAATTCAAGGATAGAACCTGACTATGGTATGGCTATTGTCTCCTGCCACGGGGCAGCTTCTTCACCTGGCGGGGACAGAGCATAGGAGCTGTCACCACTCTAGATTTCGTGGCTGGCTCTTGGCAACACCATGCTGGAACTGTCTCAGGGAGCTCCAGGCTTTCCTGCTCTTCCCGGGTTCTGTTCCTCCTGTAGCCACTTCTGACTAAGCTGGATCTGAGTGCTGGAAACTAGGAATCTCCATCCTTGCTTGGATCTCCTGAGCCAGAGCCTGAACTGTGAGCTGTGCCAGCAAAACCTTTGTCTCTAAGTGATACTACCCCCAAGAGAGGGCAGGCTGAGTCAGCCAGCAGGACTTCTGTGGTATTTACAGAGGTGCCTGGTCACGGGAGGTTCAGCCGCAGTGTCACCGTCACAGCTGATAAGAAGCCAGCTGGGCAGTGGCTGTTCATACATTAACTTCCATTGTTTTAGTCAGGCTCAGAAAGGCTAACCTTTCTGATAGTGTAACACTGACGAACAAGGTAGGTGGTCTTTAATATGTAAACTGTCCGGCAGTGGCTTTGAGATACAGCAGTCTTCACCTGGTACCTTAAATTCCATCTCAGCTCCTCAGTGTTTTAAAGGAGCTCGGGCTAATCAAGGTATTGATAGTGTGAGAGTGAAGGCTTGCTTGATTTCAGTGTGAGACAGGTACCAAGGCCTCCCACATTCCTGGTTCTTACCACTGTGTCATAAGTGCAAGTCATTAAGAATAACCAAATGCATCTGGGCTTGGTGGCACATGCCTTTAGTCCCAACAGTTGGGTGGCAGAGGCAGGGCTCTCACTGTGTAGCTCTGGGTGGCCTGGTATTCACTATGTAGACGAGGCTAGCTTCTTACTCCCAGAGACCCACCTGCCTGACTGTCTAGTCCCGAGATTAAAGGTATGTGCCACCATGCTGCTCTTACACTTTCTTCTGACAAGGGTCTCCTGTAGCTGCTTTTCCGAGAGTACTAAGAAGAGAGAGTCCCAGGGTGCCACCATAGGCTAACCACATAACCCTGCAAATGCACTACCACCGGAAAGATGCCTCAGTACAAAGAGTGGTTACTGTAAAAGGTATACATGTCATGACAAGATGCTTGAGGTGGCAGAGAGTGCTGAACTGCCTGCCTGCCTGCCTGGCACTCCCTCTTACTCTTCCCATCAGCCCTTTAAACACATACACACTTAGCACAAACGCTATTACCTGACTTGCTTCCAGAAACCCCAGGCGGCTTCTTGAGGTCCGACTTCAGCTTAGAGGCCAGGATGAACCTCCTAAACCACTCTTCTTTCTCCCGGCCGGTTCTCCCAAACAGGTACAGTGTCAGGTCTCTCTGGCTAGATTTTGTCCCCTCTTGAGGCTGCGGTGGCTTCTTAAGGTCTTCGCTTGCCGGCTCTTTCTCAGCAGGTGGCTTCTCCTCACAAGTGTCCCGATCCGTCTGAGCCTTCGACATGAAGTCATCTTGCTGACCAAGCTCGATGCAAATGGGGTACTTTTTATTCCAGATTCGTTTGCGAGCCAGACTTTTAGGAACAAGATAAATCTATGGAGAAAGGCAACGGATGCTTTACATACTAAAGACTATTCCCCGCTGTGCATCAATGTTACATGTAGCAGAAAGGTTAACCTTTCTGAGCCTTTGACTAAAACGATGGAAGTTAAATAACTTTCACTAACTGTCTGCAACCTGACTGTAGAACACAGGATACATTTTTAGAAATTACTTGCTATTTCTCAAAATTCCGAAGTGTACATATTTAAGAACTACACACGAGCTATGGATATCTTTCATTCTTAGGCAGCAGTAGCAGAGTAGCAACATTACTCTGATTATTATCAAAAGGCTTAGATACATTAGATACATTAGCCAACTGGGTTAATGGCCCTAGGTGACCCTTAAGCTGGGGGTGCGGTGGGGGACAGGAAGTGCAGGTCAATGCTGGGAATCAATTCAAGGATGAATCTATATAGCAACTACTTTACATACTTCCATTACTGTGGAGGAACTTAAAGACCATTCACACTAGTTATAAGAAAGGAGAACCTATGCCTGTGTGTAATAAATGTATATTTTCTACAAAAATATAAATAATATCTTATCAAAGCTGGGCCGTGGTGGCACACACCTTTAACCCCAGTGCTTGGGAGGCAGAGGCAGAAGCGGGTGAACTTCTGTGAGTTCAAGGCCAGCCTGGTCTACATTGTGAATGCCAGGACAGGCTCCAAAGCTACACAGAGAAATCCTGTCTCGAAAAATGAGAGAGAGAGAGAGAGAGAGAGAGAGAGAGAGAGAGAGACAGAGACAGAGAGAGAGAGAGAGGCAGAGAGAGAGAGAGAGAGAGAGAGAGAGAGAGAGAGAGAGAGAGAAAGGGGGGAGAGAAACATACTGGCATGTGCACAATTTTTACACATTACAGAGCCTTTATCAATACGTGGTACCACAACATATCACTTTTAGACTAAAAATCCAGCCCCCCCCTCTCCCCCAGGGTGTGTATGGAGGTAGCAGATTGAGACAGGATTCCATGACATAGTTCAACCTGGCCTCAAACTATGTAGCCTAGGCTCTATCATGGGGATCCTCCCACTTTGGCCTCCCGAGAGTACAGGTCTGTGCCACTACTGTGGTGCTGGGGATGGACCCTATAATCAGCTTTTAAAGTCAAAATTCTGAGTGCAGAGAGCCCTTATTCCTGGAGATGAGGTCCATGGAGCTGCAACACAAGCTCCACACTGGAAGGTCACAGAGATCCAGGCTATGAGCCCACCCAAAGGATGCCCTGTGATTCACAGTTGCTGTCAGAGATGCTGGCCTATAAACAATATCATTGTGGGGTGGGGTGGGGTGCAGTATGGCAATCAAGGTTCCAAATGCTTCTCATTCATTCAAGCTCTGCTTCCAAAATTACCCAGACTCACCTTGCTGTCTGAGAGGTCGTAGATTTTCTGGCTGATGTAGGTGACTTCTGGCTTTGTTTCATTGTAGCTTGCCCTCCTGGATATGTTTTTGTTGGGTTTTGAAAGTCTTAAGGTTCCACCCTCAAGCCGGACAAAGACTGAGTGTGTCAAAGTCGCATGGTAAGTTTCTGGATCATAGTTGTAAATCTCGTTCATCCATCCCTGATGGAAAAACACCTTTATGAGTAAGAGTGAATAGTGTGCAAACAGCCGGTGTCCTGGACATCAGGATGGAAACTCACCATTCGCAGTGATAACTTCCCAGTGCTGAGTGCTGAAGAGCAATTTGGTATGGTTTTAGTAACTAAAATTTGGGGAGGTAGCATAGTAATACCTACCATCCTAAACAAACGATTCTTTTCTAAGCCACCAAGCAAAAGGAGAAACTCAAGTCTTACGTACGTCATGGAGCAAGGCTCCTTGCCTAATCTCCCTTGGGAATGAGCACTGATCTGGCCTGGCTGTGTGTGACAATACAGCTCAGGCTAGCCAAAAACTTGTGATCCCCCTACCTCCACGGTCTGAGTGCTGTGATTACTGGTGTGGGTCACCATGCCCGACTCCCAGTCTGGTGTAGTCTTTAGATTATGTTTATTTAGTTGTTTGTTTATTACATGTATGCCACAGTGCACCCATGGAGGTCAGAAGACAGCTGGAAGGAAGGCAGGTCGTTTCTTCCACCATGTGGGACTCAGAATGAATTAATTCCATGACAAGCTTGGCAGCAAGAATCTTTACCTACTAAGCCATTTTACCAGCACCTAGTCTAGCTTTCTAAATCAGTCAAACTTCTGCTGTTCCCAGCCTACCTGCAAACAATCTTTGACACTTTGCAGACCCCATGAACTCCTGTTACCATTCCTCTAAGACTTAGAAACTTACTAGCCTATTTCAATGACACTGTGACAGGTACCTTACAGAAATCATACAATGAGTGAAAAGCAGATGAGTGAGAATCAGACAGCAAATAAACAAACAGGCACAACCAACATGCCATAGTTCCTACGGTAATTTAAGTGATTACAGCAGTGCTCCGCAGCCTGACCCAGCCTCGAACTGGTACAAAAGTATTCATATGGTGGCTTGTTTTTGTGTTTTTCAAAGTTTTAAAGACTTATTTTATGGGTGAGTGATTTGCCTGCATGTATCTATCTGTGTGCTTCCTTGGTGCCTGAGGAGGAGAAAAAGGGAGTCAGATCCACCTGGAGCTGGAGTGGCAGGTGCTTGCACACCACCATGTAGGTACTGAGAGCCAAACCCGGGTCCTCTGCAAGAACAGCAACGGCTCTTAAGCGCTAAGGCATCACTCCAGCCCCTGGATTTGTCTTGCTTTTATTTATGTGCATGTGTATGTCTGTGTATGTGTGTGTATACATGTATGTGGGTACTCACAGGGGCCAGAAAAGGACAGCAGACCCTCAAGCTGAGTTACAGGAAGCTGTGAGAGGACATTGGGGCTAGAGGAACAGAAACTGCTTTTCACCCCTAAGCCGCCTCTCCAGGCCCCACTCCCTCCGTTGAGACAGGGTCTTACTAGGGCACTCGGTCAAACCTTGAATTTTTGAGCCCCTAGCTTTGGCCTGAGTAGCAGAGGTTATAGACCTATGCCACCAGGCCCAGTTTTATACATGGATCTCAAAAATAACATTTACATTTATTGAAGTGCACAAACAGAACACAAAAGGCATAAAAATAAGCAAAGTACACAATTTATAAACATGAACTCAAAGAAACCCATCATTTTGTATGATAATATATGCTAACAAAACATCAGAACAGCAAACAGACAGTACCAATGTTTATAACTGTAATCAGTATTATCACTTAACACTTCGCCCGCCACAGAGCATTCTTTCAGATTTTGGGAGTCACTGAGACCTCCTAAAAGATCCATAAGAAATATTAACTGAGTCCCCTGGCTCACTTTGTAATGAGGAGACAAGTACTACTTGAAACAACTAGAACTGGGAATGTGTTTCCATGGTAAATATTTGAGTTCCTCATCAGTGTTGACCAGAAAGCCTCAGAGAATGAGGAGACCCCAGAACCCCCTCCATTTGTCCATCCATCGCCACAGTGCATCAAATCCACAGTCAAGCCAAATGCTAGGGCTGATTACAAAGATCTTTTTTTAAGATTTATTTTTTGATGTGTGTGAATGTTTTGCCTGCATGCGAGCATGTGCGCCACTTGCACAAAAGTGGTTGGGAAGCTGCATGAGGGTACTGGGAACCAAACCAGGTCCTTCACAAAAGCAAGTGCTTCTAACCACTGAGCCATCTGTCCAGCAGCAGCAGCAGATACTAAGATTTAAAGGAGTCTAGAGGCTGGGAGGCAGTGGTGGAGCACTTGTGTAGCTCCCGGGAGAAGGTCCTGGGAAAAAGTTAGGAACTAAAAAAGAAACAGGATAGGATGATTCTTGACCAAACAATACCCACCAGAGAGTAGGGAACGGGGTCTTCCTCCCATTGGCCTACCAGAATATGACTAAGAGACATCATCATGAAAAGGCTGCCCCAGTACAAGGCGCCAAACACACTTATCTGTGTGTGGGGGTGGGGGGTGGGGGTGGTAAAACTTATGAACCAGCTACACTGACTCACATGACTCAGGAGACTTGTTCTGCATGGGCTGGGAGGCTTTCACTCTCCCCTCTCTGAGTTACTGACCACGAGCAGCATTTATGTGCTTACTCAGACATTGCATGAGTAAGCAGTGTTCATGGGAAGGGGACAGTCTAGCATCTGAAAATGAACCAGCAATGACCCGAGGGGGAGAGGCAATCCCTAACACAGGAGGATCGAAGCAGATGGACTGTCAGAGCGCCTGCTGGGGGTGGGGACAACTGTGTGAAATGTAAAGTGTTCTCAAATTACATTGTTTGGGTACCATGATGGAATACCATGATGAAAGCATGGCCCAGCAGACTTAACCTCTGATGAACAATGATTAAAAGTCTTTCCCTCCTATCTGCTGTGCCTGGCCGCAGTGGTTTACCATAAACCTCCTGAAAAGAACTGTCTTCCACGAGTATCGGTGTGGGGAATACTAGATGGAATCTGGGCGCTTGCGACTGAGGCCAAGGCTTAATGTCAAGGTTTCATGTGCTTTGCCATTGCTTTACTCCTCCCAGAAGGGCCATTTTTATTGTCCTCAACATACGAGAGCACAGCTTCCTAGGTGTGGAGGCTGCAGTATCTAATCTCAGGTCTCAGGCCTGAGGCAGGAGAATCGCTTGAGTTGAAGGCCCATCTGGACAACGGCTTAGAACTCAGCAGCCAAAGAAAAGTGTAAAACATACTGAATTGCTAAGAGAAAAGACAAACTCTCTAGGCTAATGAAAATGTTTTGTGTCCTCAAGCAAGAGTCTGAATTTCAAGGGCTCCTGTGGCAGCAATGGACGCACAATGTACCTTACCGCTTCAAAGGTGGCTGGATGGGGACTCGGGGTCAGAAGATTACATCAAATTATTTTACCATCATAAAAATTAAATAAACAAATTAAAATAAACAAAATAAAACAAATTAAAAAAATTAAATAAACAAATATTATAAGGTTTCACCTTTTCCTTTCTTGGGTTATGTGAGTATGAGAGAGAGAGAGAGAGAGAGAGAGAGAGAGAGAGAGAGAGAGAATGAATAAGGAGGTATTCCTCAGCCAGATTCCTGGGCCTGGAATCTGTTGTTCAGCTAGAATAGCTGCCCCGAGAGCCCTGGGATCTGCCCGTCTCTGGCTCTAGTACGGAGTTACAGACATGCGCTCCCACATCTAGCGCTGGTTTACATGGTGCTAGAGACATGGGTCCTAACGCTTGTGCTACAAGCATTCTACTTACCAAGCCATCTCCCACCCCACCCCACCCTTTTTTTAAACATGGGGTCTCACTATGTTGGCAGGCCGGTGCCAAACTTGCAGAGATCCTTTTATTTCTGCCTCCAGAGTATTGGCATTACTGGCATGCACTGCCGTGGAGAATGTCCCTCTCCTTTGTTTGTTATTGTGCTGAGTTACATTCGTTGTTGTAGTGAATACTGACTAAATGTTGACTCCATCTTGCATTATTGGGATTACTGACAACACTGGACATTACATGTTGAAACCAAATCATCCCAGTTCTTGACAGCCAATGTCTATACATTTCCAACTCCATGTTCAGTGATTTCACCCTGGGAGCCTGAACCTGGTCATGGTGAAAATGTTTACACAAGAGAAACCAGGGGACAGTACAAATCAAGGTTCTGTACCCCCTCCTGCTCCGTGTGTGTGTGTGTGTGTGGGGGGGGAATAGGGTTCAGAGCTTTGAGCAGGCCAAACAAGTACTCTACCACTAAAGGTTCACCTTGAAACTCTTTCTCCTTTATCTACATGGTTCAATTTGATTTGTTAATGTCTTTCTAAGTTGATTAGGGCAAATAATCTAGTTTTCATGCTATATCTTTAACTTCAGCAAGCATCATGAGTTAGGCTGGGCTGTAAAGATGGCTCAGTGGTTAGAGAGCAGGCTCCTCACTCAAGGACCCAAGTTCAGGGACCAGCACCCACACTGGTGGGGCTCATAATCACCCGCAATTTCCATTCCAGGGAATCCAAAGGCATCTGTGTGCAAATGCACCTACTCTCACACAGCCCCACCCATATATACACAATGAAAAATAATGCTTTGGGGCTGCAGAGATGACTCTATGATTACAAGCATTCCTTTCTCTTAGAGAGGACCTGAGTTCAAGTCCCAGCACTGACAAGAGGTGGCTCACAACTAACTGCCTGTAACTCTAGCTGCAGGGATCCAGTGACCTCTTCTTGTGTCCAAGAGCAACCAAACTCATGTGAAATCCTTCCTTCTCTTTTCTGGACATTCATGTAGAATTCACATTATTTCTTCTATTTGAGATTTTGCAAACGAACTTAAGAGTTTTCATTGTAGGAAAACTTAAAAAAATTTAAACCATGAAATCAATTTATTTAACCTCTAATGGGCTAGTCAAATGACATGTTTGGGTTTCTTTGTTGTTGTTGTTTGTTTTTTAAATAAAGACTCATCTTATACTTGAGATTCTCCTGCCTCTGCCTCCTAAATACAGGGATTACAGGAATGTGCCACTGGGCTTGCCTTTTTATCGTTTGAACTATAAAACCAAGGTCTGCAAAGAATTCATTCCTG